ATAACTTGATCCGCATTTTACCAAAAGTTAAATAGTTTAGGAATATTCAATAGAAACTGTGGTTTTTAGGTATTTAATTTTATAAGAATAAATTAATTGAGGATTGATTAATTTTGTGAATGCCAAAGTTTTATTGGTCGACCTGAACAATGTTTTATTATAATGAAGAGGTGCAAAACTAAAAATTCAACTCTATAAATAATTTTCATCGACATGTTTGATGAGGGTTGCTGTCATTCGATGTTCTGTTTTCTAGTTATATTTTATATGCTCATTTTTATATCAGCCACAACGACATGAGTGAATAAATATTTATCTAAAACTTATAGATACGTTTTCTACTCAGCATATTTATTTGAATATTAAAAATGATGACATAAAAAGTTTCGTGATTTCTCTGCTAACTGCGACTAGCGTTCTCGAGTCTTCCGTACAATTATTTCTGAGCAATCATAATTTTAGCGGTGAAATAAAATCATTTTAGTGCGACTAAACAAGACTGTAAGGATTTTAGTGTCGTGTGATGACTTGTTCTGTATTAAATAATTTAATAAACAGTTTGGTGTTTCCTATTAAAGAATGATAATGCCAAATAATACATGACGTATCCGAATCGCGTCCCGTCGTAAAACGTACTTCGTGTTTTCATCAAAAACCTAAATGTAATTTAAGAGGAGAAACAAAGACGTTATTCTGATTTTATTGTATGCGATGGGAAAATATTACTCTCGTTCCCAATAATATGTAATAATATTTTGATCGTCTTTCTATGTTGCGTCGATCAAACATGAATAGTCAGTTTTAGATAATGTACATTAAATCTGTAGTCTGTGATTATTTTTTTGGAGTAGATGTAAAGAAAAAAAACCGAAATATAAAATGAGGTCATCCCACTGTAATATATTACAATTGTGTTGTTTAATATTGCAGAAAGTAATCTCGCATGATTATTGCTTGCAGTTGCATGTAAGTACAAACTTGGTCAGTAAAAACGATTCATTCCGTTCGTGAGGATGCGTTCGCTTCTAGGTCTTTTTTATTGAACGTTTATTCAAACGATTATCTGCCAACATTCGCATTGATTGCAAGCATGTGATTTCACTCTATCGCTAATTTCCATGTTTAGGAAATTTTTATAAATTTATCTAAACTTGTATAGGATTTTGTTATTCTTTTTTGTACTTTGCAAGCCCTCGAGATCGCGTTAACTTGTTACCTACAGTTTTTTACCATACGTCAGTCGTCAATTCGTACTCCTATAATTATGCAGATGATGTTCATGTCGTTTTATCGCATAGCGTGACATCTCCAGGGTATATAAAAAAAAAGGCATGGAAATGGGAGTTCTTATTTGGATTGTTTTTTTTTCCTGTATAAACTACTCATCACGCTTTGGTATTGGTCTATTAATCACACGAATCAATAAAAGCACTTCTATGAAAAAATTTCGTTACAAAATAAAAATTAATCGGTTTCAGCGGTTGCAAACAGTTTAGCTGCGTAGTCGTAACTATCCAAAACAGTTGGACTGTTAGTAAACGAAACCTTGAAATTTTTTATCATCGCTTGCATTTGTAAACGCTATTTTATTGGTTAATCATTTACCGTGATAATTGTAGTTTTCAAAAACTTTGAAATTTCCTGGTACTCTAAGGAGATTCGCAAAATAGTATTGCCATGTAATGACTACCTTCACGATTCGCGCAGTTCATTGACGTTAACTTTGGTTTAAAGCAAATTTGAGTGATGTTATGATAAATAATCATTATGATTTGCGTGTATATAATATCATTTGGTAAGATATTACATTATCATTGGGTGTAATTAGTTCTGAAGTGTTTGATACGGATAATGTATTTCATCAAATCTAATGTAAAATTTATGTCTTGTAGACATTTTCAATCAAGTTAAAGCCGAAACGTGTTGTTTATTTACCATGAACTAAGAGCATCAATTAGTGTGAATGCGTAATAATTGCAATATTTGATGAATTACGTCAAGATGTAGTGTAGGTGAATCTAAATAGAGGTAATCTCTGTTATGTTTAAAATGTCCTTAAACTGATGCTGTAAAAACCATTATGTAAAGTATATAAAATATTTATTACTCGATGAGATGCGTTTTCTTATTATTACTATTATTTTTGTGCGCTTATTCTAACACAAACAAAAGTTCTTTATGAACATGTTTGAACACTTGTATGGGTTGTGTATTAAATGATATAATTATAACTAATTTTTTCATTATATCAAATATCACTACGTATACCCATAATTAAACCAAAACTCCTGGAGGCATCTATGGCATATTTCAAAAAATATCTCATAAAATAAAGTCCGTTGGGTTTCCTCGAGATATTAATACCTTGTGCACACTTATAATGTGTTTGGTTGATATTCATAAGGTATTACTTTGACAACTATCAAAGCGACAGACGTCTACAGCTCTCTTAACTTTATTTTCAACATAAAGAAACTTTTTGTTTGCACAGACAACATAATTTGAGTTGAGTTCTAAATAAGCTTAATAATAGTGATGGATAAAAAAATTCTACAATATTTAAACGAAACTTTTGTCATTTAGAATTCTTTGAATCGAGGTAACGATTATCAAATTATTATATAAATTTTTTTTTTTCGATATTGAAATTTAAATATTATGATAATTTTGAATTAAAAACCATTCGCTTTATTATTAATATTTTTGTTTTAAATTAAAAAATATAGAGAAATATGCAATGGAGTTATAATAAGAAAACTTCTTCGGTATGAAATGTGTGCATCAAAAAAAAAAACTTTATTTTTCAATGCACCAAATTATTCTGGTTTGGTTATTAGTTTTAAATGTTCGATTTATGAATGCTTTCTATTACTAAGGAACTTAAAATGAAAAGTCACTTTCCATAGTATTTCAATTAAAATCAGCAAACACATTTATTGGTTAAAGTAAAAGACAAATAATTATAAATATTTCATAAAATCAAAAATGAAAATACTCTTTTTAATTAATAATTGAAACGTAATCTTTAAAAATTATTAAATTATGTTTTAAATAGTTTCAACTAATAAGATCATATCTATTTGAATTATAACTCAAAAACTATTACGTAGAACGCTCGAGATTAGTCTGAAAATTATAGCGCATATTAAATAGAATAAATAAATTTTAGATAGAAGTATAAAGTACTGTTTTAAAATTATATTAAACTAGTCTGCTTAATCATTTTTGTTCGCTCATTCGCTAAACTGATTATAAACATTCCTGTTAAAAGTTGTCATGTTTAAATTATTCATTTAAATAAATTATAATATAAAATTTGTAACTTAGCAAACATTTAAATATTTTTTGAAGATAATTTTAACGTAGAAAAAATAATTTCTTGGTATAAATTTCTCAAATAAAAAAATTTATCTATTATTTGAAACTGTCATGTTAATTATTTAAAAAATCATATCAAAGTAAAAAAAATGCTTAACGATGAATGTATAAACAGCATAATGTTATATGGTCATAAAATTCAGTAGTTATTGAGCTGGAATTTTATCCTAACTCAATTCTGAATATCTTAAAGGCAAGTTCTGAGGAAATTCTTCCATAAGTATGTACTATTTTAGACTATTTTCATCCATGGAAACATTTTTATTGAGTATAATTGTATTATATTCAATAGTTGTTAAATGAAAACCAGAATTGTATTAATATAAAACATGGAATTCACAAAAGACAATTCGTGGAAAATTATTTAAATTAGACTAACAGTGAAATGCAATTGAAGTGAATAAAAAATATGCGTGTTTATTTTTTGTTTTAACATGAAATTTGATTAAAAGTTAAAAGAAATTTTAAAAAGATTTCATCTAAGAAGTTTGATTTAAAACATTTAAACCTTAAGTAATTATTGTATTTACTAATTCCACATTGAATTACAATAGAAATATATTTATTTAAAAAAACGATAGTATTAAATTGGAATTAAAAATTTCTGTTTATGTGAAAAAATATCAATTGTAATTATTAATTGTATTTATGGATAAATGTAAAACATTTTTTTTTCCAATTAAAATGTCATCAAAACGAGTAAGAAATCCATTAATAAAAAACCACAAATATGTCAATCAAAAAATAAAATAGCTAAAAGACTTCAAGTTCGAACTGCGATTAATGAAGGGGTAACAAAGTGAAAAATATATACGTATTTTTTACTGTAAATACTTCTGTTTGTCCATTTTCTTTAGTAGTAAATAACCGTTAAATGCCATACCGCTAATTAGCCCAAGGTGAGTAAGTTAAACAGAAGTTTCTGTTAAAAGTTAAAGATTTTACTAATTTAATTTTTTTCTGTAGAATTCATAGATTATATATTTTTTTTATCGCTTTTTTAATCCCATTAAGGGCCATAGCGGCCTACTATAAAAGAGGAGGTTTCTTAACCTACTCCGGCACGGGTGATTAGTTGGTCGCCGGAGAAAGGGATGGCTACTCCAATTACCGAACTGATCTCTCGCTCGTGACCGAGTTTCGAACCCGAGACACTGGTGTGTTACCGATCGGACACATCGTCACTTCTTTTTCTTCTTCTTCTACTTCCTCGCCTTAATCCCAACTACTTGTTTAAATTTTTTTTATTGTTTATTTTTTCATATCAGTGATAAGTAATGAAAAATATGCTTTAAACATTGCCTAAGAAGACAATAATTATTCAAAAAAACCCAGCACAGTGGTGACGTGGCATAGTTGGATCAAGTATAATGATATCTGACAGTGATTAAAATCACTATCAAAAATAAACGCTTCGATGCAAATCTTTAGATAGTGTTTAATTTAAAAAAAATTGGTGTTTTATTCCAAAAGCTACTTGATCTGCTGGTTCCTTATTAATATCTTGATTAAGATAAAGTATGTCGAATGAAAAAGGGTTTATTAAAAAATATTATTTCTCATAAAAAAA